AGGGGGGCGGGCTGCAGGAGTGTGGGGGGCAGGAATCGGCAAGGGGTGGGAGGGCTGGGCAGGAGGTGGGGTGCAGGAATCGGCAAGGGGTGGGAGGGCCTGGCAGGAGGTGGGGTGCAGGAATCGGCAAGGGGTGGGAGGGCTTGGCAGGAGGTAGGGTGCAGTAGCAGAGGGGGAAGGGGAAGAGTGGGAAGTGCATTACCGGGTTACGGGTGCTCCAGGGCTGGAGCACCAGTTCCCTAATGCTGGGGGAGGGGACTTTGAGCCTCGGGGGCTGGATCCAGGCAAGCCGGGGGCTGAAGGTTCCCCACTCCGATTGATTGATTCTAGCCTTGCCTGTGACCAATCCGGCTGGGAACAAACAAAACTGTTCCCTGCCTGCCTGCCTGTCCCGAGGGGCTGTCCCGTGTCCTCACCCAGCCCAGCAGAGGCGGGGGACTGCTCTGCGCCCGCTCTCCGTTTCGCCTGTGTCCGTGGTTCTACAAAGCCAGGCTGTGGGGCACGAGGCCTCGTGATGCTCCTGGAACTATTTACTTACTGGTGTGAATAGCTGTAGGACTGGCCCCTGTGTCAGTCCCGTAAGGCCTTTGTTATCCGGCATGGGGGGAGAGTGGGAGGTGCTGGAAATCGGGGGGGAGGGGAATCCAGTGAATGAAGACGAAAGGAGTTTGCGTGAGGGAGGAGGCATGGGGCTGAGGGGCTGGAGGAGGTGCAGGAGGGGGCTCGGGGCAGAGGGTTGGGGTGCCAGATCCCGGGGCACTCACCTCAGCTGCCTCCCCACAAGTTGTTCCTAAGCAGAGGCACAGACAGGGGGGCCCAACCCCCTGCCCTGAGCCCTTTCCTCCCAGGGGTAGCAGGGACGTGTCACTGTTTCTGGAGAGCCGCATGGAGCCTTCTGGCTTCGCAGCAACCAGACTGCCTATGAAGATGAGCAATGCCAGTTGACAGTGCTTTTTGGCTGGCACAGAGCCAGATAATGCAGCTTGTTCTGTACATGAAAGGCAGCACAGAAAACCTGAGCGGTTGCCCAGGGCAGCTGTGAGCGCAGATGTCAGACTGTGCCCCTGAGCACTGTCCCCTCCCACCTTTTCCATCCGTGTGCAGAATAAGTTTTGTTACGTGCCCTGAGGGACGTGTGAATGTGCACCGCCAGCAGAAACAAAACCGAGCGGCGGGCGCTCTGCTGATAAGCTGGGCAGCACTGGAATCTCTCCCGAGCAGCCGGCTGCCCAAGTGCTCAGCTTGCGGGGAACAATGCTCCGAAACAGCCTTCCTATGGGACAGGGATTCTCCGCCTTTTTCTTCCTAAGCCCTCCCCTGTCCCAATGTTATAAAAACTCCCTGTCCAGCCAGTGATTTTCTGCACAGCCAGTAGATTAAAAGGCAGGCCTGGCGTCAGGAGACAGGAAACGGAGCAATTACCTGGGTCCCCACAAAGCGAAGTTACTCGCACTTCAGCATTAGTTCCACATGACATGGCTCAGTCTTCCACTTTCTGCCTTGGGCTCCAGTGAGTCTAGCATTGGCCTGCCTCTCTGGTTTATGTTACCGCCTCACGGCCCTTCCAGGGGCCCCCAGATCCCTGGCCGAGAACCTTTTCTGTACAGCACAGGTCAGAGAAGGTCACCCAGTGATCCCTGCATGAAGCCCAGTTACTTGTGGTGGAGATGGAAAGCAAAAAAAAAAAAAAAAAAAAAGGGCTGCCAATCTTTATTTAGTTTACATTTTTTAAATGATGGAAAATCCACCACGGCTGTGTCTACACTGGGCCACTTATTCCGGAAAAGCAGCCGCTTTTCCGGAATAAGCTGCGAGCTGTCTACAGTGGCCCCTTGAATTTCTGGAAAAGCACTGACGATCTACTGTAAGAAATCAGCTGCTTTTCCAGAAAAACTATGCTGCTCCCGCTCGGGCAAAAGTCCTTTTTCCGGAAAACTGTTCCAGAAAAGGGCCAGTGTAGACAGCACAGTACTCTTTTCCACAAAAAAGCCCCGATCGCGAAAATGACGATCGGGGCTTTTTTCCGGAAAAGCATGTCTACATTGGCCACAGACGCATCCTGCCCATGTAAGTGCTCTTTTTCCGGAAATACTTATAACAGAAAACTGTTCCGTTTTAAGCATTTCTGGAAAAGGGTGCCAATGTAGACACAGCCCACCTGTCTTGGGAAGTAGTTACAAACTGTGCCTTAATTCCCTTTTGAGCTTGGCTTCCTGCACCATCCAACCCTTAGATTTGTTTCATCTTCATTTTGGAGGGCAAAGGGAGCTAGACTAATTTGTCATCCGATTACCCCTGTTCCTTTTGCGCCTGTCTGGATTCTCCTTTTCCCGGCAGGCGACAGGACTGGGAGCGGTCACACGGCAAGAGAATCTTCAAAGGCTGGCTGGAGAAGACCGGCCTGAGATGTCTCCAAAACGATCCAAAGGAAACGTGTCTCAGAATCCGGAGCAGGGGAAGCCCCTTAAGAGTCAGGGCAGGCCAGAAGCCCAGCAGCCAGTCCCTTTGGAGGAGAGAGAAGGTAAATATGCCCACCGTGGGAGAGGCGTGAGGAAACGCAAAGACACCATCGTCCGCCAGAGAACGTACGCCGGGGAGAGGCCCAACATCTGCATCGAGTGTGGGAAAAGCTTCAAGCAGAGCTCAGACCTGAGGCGAATCCACACAGGAGAGAAGCCCTATAAATGCATCGATTGCGGGAAAAGCTTCAGCATCAATTCAAACCTCCTCCGGCACCAGAGGAGCCACACAGAGGAGACACCCCACCAGTGCTCTGACTGTGGGAAAAGCTTCACGGACAAGTCCACTCAGACCCAGCACCAGTGTGTCCAGACGGACGAAAGGCCCTACAAGTGCATCGACCCCCCCCGCCACAAGAAGCGCCTGAAAAGCCCCGCCGGGAAAAAGCAGGACACATGCCCCCTAGAGGACAGAGCTGCTGCCGGGAAAGTCAAAAAACCCAAAGCATCGAAGAAGAGAACTTCAGCCATCGAGATCCCCAACACGTGTGCCGAGTGCTGGCAGAGCTTCAGCCAGAACTCGGACCTGGTCAAACACATGCGGATCCACACGGGCGAGAAACCCTACGAATGCACCCACTGCGGGAAATGCTTCAACGTCAGCTCCAACCTGATCAGACACCAGAGGATCCACACGGGGGAGAAACCCTACACGTGCTCTGACTGCGGGAAAAGCTTCACTGACAAATCCACCCTCACCCAGCACCACCGGATCCACACGGGCGAGAAGCCGTACGAGTGCATTTACTGCGGGAAAAGCTTCAGCCGCAGCTCCCACCACAAGAGGCACCAGAGAACCCACACAGGGGAGAACCCCGTGTCCTTCCTGCCTTTATGGCCCTACCCCACTCAAGCATGCTAAGGGTCAGGGGAGGGGAGAAGAGGCCATTCTGTGGCAGGGGGAGGTGGCTGGCAAAGATGGGGGCTGTGTGCTTGTAGGCTCTGCGTTTTCGGGGTTAGTGGGGTGGTGAGCAGTGGGAGGGAGTTGTTGGGGGAAGGGGTAGGTTCTTGGGAGAGCTGGTTGTTTTAGTGGTTGGGACTTTGGGATGATGAGCAAGGAGAACAGGCCGGCGGCTGGGGGTGGTGAGTAGCTGGTAGGACACAAGGGGCGTGTGTGTGTGTGTGTGTGTTGTTACGTTTTTACTCTTGGCCTGTGTAGGACAGGTTGTAGGTTTCCTTCCGTTTCCATTAGGATGAGTGCCTGTGCCCCAGAGTGCACCACTGGGACTAACACAGACTGGGCTCACGAGGGAACGTCTTGGCAGGGAGGCCTGGGTGCCGAGCAGGGTGCTAGAGGTGGCCCTGCCAGGGCAGGAGCAAGGCACAGCTTTGTCACCGTGCATACCGAGGGCCTCTCGCCTGCCGGCGGCAGCACATTCAGGGAGGCCTGGGTGCCGAGCAGGGTGCTAGAGGTGGCCCTGCCAGGGCAGGAGCAAGGCACAGCTTTGTCACCGTGCATACCGAGGGCCTCTCGCCTGCCGGCGGCAGCACATTTAGCCGGT